ATGTGATACTACTACTACTACAAATGAGTGAAAAAACAACGCTGAAAGTTACTAAAGACCCTGAATGACAGTGTCCTCATGCCTCCCTCGCTCGCTCTATGGGTAATAAGCTTGTGTGTATCAGAGTGTGTGTAATGGCCTTCCTAAATGAGCTTGTATTTAACTCTGTCATGCATAGAGAATTAATGTGTTTGCCCTTCAGAAAAACAGGCGTCGGTGTACAGCGCAACAGCCCACGGTGTGTGATGTACGAGCGGCTTTAAACGGCCTTTTACTATCGAGCTTTATGCTGAGAAAGTAAAAAAAGTCTCATATCAGAAACATTCAAATTAGTGTTGTTAAGTCATCGCAACAAATTGTATCTGGCTCACTCAACACTAAACTGTACAAAGCGTCTTATATCAAGCAGCAATAAAATACATGTATGAACCAAAAATGTTTGTACCTAATAATTCTTTAATACTCTGCAGTTTATAGATATACATACAGTAATTTAATCTCAAATGGGCTCCAAACCATTTCAAGAAAAAATGGATGCTTTTCAAAAAATGGTTTTGAACTTTGGAGACACAATTACATATGTGTCCCCAAATTACAAAATAAATTATGTGTTGAAGGTTTTGTGAATGGAAGAATTAACAGGACAGAAGACTATTTAATGGCTAATGGTCGGGGATACAACTAGAATCAATCTCTCATAATAGATTTTTGTTTTGAGAGCGAGGAGTTAAGATTAAGAGATTCCTGTATTTGTACTGTATTTTAAAGAATACCTCTAAAGAAGCAAGTATTAAATCTCTAGATTTAGCATAATAAAGAAGTATAGTAGTGTAGTAGAAGTAAGGCCTTGGCATTCTTCAACACTCTATCTACAACATGGGAGAGCCCTGGGACCATCATATTTCTTGAAGGTGCCGGCTATGCAAATTCAATGTTCCCACCTGATCAGCAGGGGGCGCTACGCAAGACTGGCCGCCCACGTGGATGTAAATTATTATAAACATTCCTTTTCGCTCTTCCAAGAAACTGTCGTTATTGTTGGAGCTGAACAGCAGGGGAAAAAACTGACGTGCCAAGCCTAAAAACTTTCATTTTGAAATCCGAGCGTTGAAAAAAACATTGTATATCATATGAATCGGGACATTCTGAACTGCTTCTGTTTCTGTGCACAGTGGGATACAGTAACCACGGTGATATCTATAAGCACATACATTTAAAAAGCACACAACAAATACTCACAAAGTAATGCAACACTAACGAGCGCTCAATGGCCCTCATACCTTAGCATTTTCACACGCATCTACCCTCAATTACATTCGTAGGAGCCGGACCCCCAACAGAGAAAATGCACAGCGTCAGGAAGAGAAGGCTAATGTGTGTATGTTTATGTACATCTGTGAGGATTGTTGGGGAAATGGGAGGAAGACGACTGAGCTAAAAGTAAGTAGTGTAATGTTTTCATTGACAAAAGAAATGGAAATGTTTACCAGACCGTTTGAGGGCTTTTGAGTGCTCAGCAAAATGAAAGAGGAAATGATTCTGCCATACAGGTCATTTAAGACACAACGGGTCATTATTATATATTTAGAATAATTGAAATCTCACATAGACTTAAAACAATGTCATAAAAGAAACACGTTTGTACACATTCAGTCCTGCTGTAAGACTCAGACTGCATATGAAGCTAGCAGTCAGCAGGTTTTCTTTGAGTAGTTCTAACTTTAGCGGCATTCATTTTTATGTGAAATTAAAATGTAGCCTTTTTAGGTTGCTTGGTAACTAATTTTATGTAACAGTTAAAACCGGCTTTCAGGAGATGCTGGTTCAGGACTGTTTTTTTCCTGGTTTTGGACTGGTCCTGGCCTGGTCCTGGTTCAGCGTGGTTTTCCATTAGATATGAGGAAGTGCTAGTTATCATAGTAACACACTGTTTATTTTCAGCAGTTCACATTTGGTCTTTCAACAAACTGTTTTGGTATATTTAACTTATCAAAAGAGTGAAGAGAAAAAAAAAACATTATACATTCCTTACTTTTAATAAAACTAGAAGAGTCAAAATGATAACTCTGGGAAATCTGCTTTTTGGAGAATTCTGGTAGCTCTAGTGCTAAATAATCAGTTTTCAGGGTTTCTTGGCTTTCATTCACTTGAGTTTGTGCAGAGAACAAACACCTGTCCTGCAGGTTTGGCATTCATTTCCCATTGAAGTGTGACGACATATGTCCCATGTGACTTACAAAACAACAATTGGTCATGGGCTCCAACAAACATTTAAAGAAACGTGGAAACTGAGAGGGAACAATGGCATGTTGGGTATAAGAGAAAATAAATTATTCAATCGTGGATGAATAAACATTGAGTGTAAATGACAAAGGAAAACAAATGGTCAAAAACTTAAAAACCATTTTGCAGGTTTTTTCTTGATTTCACCATCACCCAACTGCTTCTCATTCCACTCTTAAATAAGCTCTCTCTGTGAGTGGTCAAGGTCAAGCCAGGCCTGACTCTGAATAAATATTTGCTATTATTCATGAAAAAAAAAACAATAGAGCGTCAGAAAACATCTTTATTGAGCCAGGAGCCGTCCGTCAAGCTGATTTACTCACATGAAAGAAGACAGCTACAAAATAAAGTGGGCTTGTGTGAGCGCAGGGAGGCGATATATTCAGAGGTAAGTGAACAGCAGCTGACAGGGTAAAAATACTGGGCTGGGGTTTTGTTCGCACTGCAGCTAACTGTCTTTTTAAATTGAATTGTAAAGAACACAACCTCAAAGCAGGTCAAGGCAGAGAGAGGCCTTCCAAAAAAAAAAAAAAAAAAACAGCAAAAAAGAAATTAGTAGAATGTAATTAAATGTCTTTACATGTTTCATGGCAGAACAACGGGGCCTCTGAACCGGCCTTCTCCATCTGCACTTGCGGACTGTCCTGCCCGACCCGCCTGGGAGCACGCTCTGCGGCCGCTGCGTGGCATTGGTCCTCGTTCTGTAGCTTAGGTCCTGGATCATTAGCCCGTCCGTCCGTGTCGGAGCGGATCCCTTTCTCAACTTGTGGGTCTCCCCGGGGTTTCTCACTTTTTTTCCCACTGGGTTTTTGTGAGTTTTTCCTTGCCAATGCAGGAGGGTCTGTTGGGCAGTTAGTGTCCAACTAGAAGGACTGAGGTGATGATCCAGGACACTTTAACATTCTACAACATATATGACATTTATCAACATTCATGGACATTTGTCTCTCCCAATGATTCTCTGATCTGTGTTGGTGATTTAGGGCTATACAAGAGTTTGTTGTTGCGGTTATTGTTACATTCAATTTGAAAGAACCACCTATTTTATCCTATTTTCCAATTTTTGTATCTAGGTACTGTATATATATTTATGGACTACACTTATGGAGATTGGTCATCTGTCTCTTATGGACCAATATCAAGATCAGATTCAGATTCATTTTATTGGCCATGTGCAGTAAAACTACATTGGAAATACATGCAAAAAGAGGTACTCTTTCAATGTCAAGGTATCAATGTGTTTTCTATTTTATCTCTTGTGTTTCAACTGTTTGATTCTCTGATCTGTGTTGGCGATTGTGTAAAGTTCTCCAAGATAACCACTGTGATTTAGAATACATTGAATTGAATAGAGGCACTGAATATTCACATTGCTTTGGAAAAGTATGAATACAGCTTGCATTGTTGCACATTTTGTCATGTTTACAACCATAAACAAAAGGATTTTAATTTGATTTTTTCACTGAACATTCACAGACGGGTAACAGACAATTGAAGTGAAAGCAAATAAAATGGTGGATGTGGAAATTCCAAGCCTTTGTAACTTCAGGAAAAAGAGGCAAAAGAAGCTCAGAGAGGAGCTGGAGAGGAGTAACGGTGAGAGTAGTGTCCATGGTGGTCAGAGCATTGGAGGCAGTGACCCCCGAGCTGGAGGAGAGGAGAGGAACCAGCAGATTTTTAATTAATCTAATTTAAAGTCTATTGATTTTTATCGGTGTCATGTTTTTAACTCCAGAGCACTGACACAGCAATTTCCCTGTATCCGTGAATCTTTCAGTGACTTGTTAAGTTTTGTTTTAGAAGCTCGTACGTCCCCGGTGTCGTGGTGCAGCTACAAAGAAGTTATTTTACACTCTTATTAGCATATTTTCTGCAGTTTTCAGTTCAGAAAATTCCAAAACATCAAACTCAAAAATCAACTCTCAAACCCCACTGCTGACTACAGTTAGCAGCAGGAATAAGACGCTAAAGATAAATACAGTGGAAAGCTTTAAGAATTCCTCAAAACATAAGCAAAAAACAGACCTCATCCAATCAATCAGAAGTACACAGTGTAGTATAGGAATGAACGATTTATACGGAATATCCACATTTTCCAGACAAGCGTTATTCTTTGATTTGTGTTATTAAGCTAGGATAGATTGGAAAGTGCACTTGGAAAATTCATATTTGTGGGAAAACCGTTGTATTTCATTTGCTTCAGATGAAACAATTTCTCACTTAAAATCCCACAGTGTAATTGAGGATTATTGCGGTCAAATGTAACATGTACATCTCTCCAATGTGAGATCAGTAAAATGTTATCTTAAAACTCTGTTGAAGAAGACTGGATTCGGCTTTTCCAACACTCAAAATGCACAATGGGGGGGCCACTCTGCCTCAACTCATCAGTAAACATTTTTTTTCAAATCACACCTTTTGTCGTGATTTTTGTTTTCTATTGTGAGACGTTAAGTACAATGGATGAATTACTACTGTCATTTTAGTTATTCTGTAAGGACGTATTTTTCATTTCTAAGACCTAGACACAGTGATATAATATACAGAAAAAAAAAAATATTTCAAGGACACTAAGTAATGTCTTAAAAGCAAAGCCACTAAATTTGCCACTAAAATTGGCACAAAAAATTTTCACTAAAATTGCATTTTTGATTTGATCCTGCTTGGCCCGAGACCACTAGTTCAGATGGTTTGCTGAGAGCGCGTGGATGACTCACCTCTCATTGGGGGATACAGGGACCGCTGGAGACGCTGCTCCTCCTGCTCTTTGCTTGTTCACTTTGGCGTAGAGTCGGTCGATCTGGTCGTCGTCCAGGGCCGGCGGGGGGTCCATGCCGTTACTGCCGTGAGCTGCGAAGGCAGCTGGGGCGTGGGGAGAGGGTGTGCGGGCACTAGGGTGTTGGCTGGAGCTGTAGTGAGGGCCCTGTGAGGGGGAAGGGGCGCCGCGCTCTCGAAAGGTCTGGATGCGGGCGTAGTTTGGGTCCATATCGTCGTCTTCGACATCAGGGTATGCAGAGTTGGCATGTGGATCTCTGGGATGCAGCTCTGGGTGGTGTGATTCAATTCTACAGAGATATGAGAATATGCAATAAAGCTGGGGTACTTAACTTTAAAACCACAGAAAATGTAAATACAAAATACAATCCATCATATTAGTTCCTGGCTCTAAAACAGTTTGGTTCTATCAGTAGTATTTATTGGCCTCTCTTGAGAAGAAATTGAGAAGACCACAGTCACTCGGCCAATCAGCTCTTAGCCCAAAAAGTCAAAGACACTATGCAAACAGTAATGTATTTTATAAAAAGACAAAGGGAGTCTATTGTAGTCTGATTTTACTGTTACAAAACAGGATGTTGTTTTTTTAATGAAGACAGTAAATGTTATGGTCACATTTTGTTACCAATAATCGTGACATCCCTATACTTGTCTATTCTGTTAGAATAGTAAGACCAATGGCAAGGATTTAAACGTATTCTGTCCAATCAGTATGCAGTGGGAGCAAACATTGGTCAAACTGGTCCTTGTGTTAAGTTTTCTCTCTCTTCACAATTGGAAAAGTAATGGAATCTCACTTTATGAATCTGCGTCTTCAGCATGTTCTATATAACTGATAAAAAGGGGAAAGGCGTAGTAGTAGTACAATATAGTAGTACAAAATATATAAAAAGTACATTTTGTCTAAATTTTTTTCTCTTTTAAAGAACCTTCTCAGTTTTAAAAATAAAGTAAAGACGGTAATTAAGTAGTACTAGCTTCTTTTTAAAAAAAAATCTTAGAACCGTCTAAGCCTTACAGTAGTGCACATAAAAAAGTAACAAATTGGTAAGACTTATTTACTATAAATAACATAAATTAAGCAAAACAATGTAATGGCAAGTATTTTTTTTGTCTTTCTTCTCAACTTTTCTTGTTTAGATAAAATAAGTTTGTGATGCTATTCTTTAAGAAAAGTACATGATACTTGAAATATAAATAGTTAAAATAGGATCAAATCTACTGTCAGATAACTTATTATTTAAGCAGTATTTCACTTATTCTCTTTTTTTTTAAGGGATTTTTTTCCACTGTAGTACATTTGTATAAACATTTTTAGAATCAAGATTATGGATGTTATAAGCAATCTTGGCTTCTTTATTGATGAATACTTAAATACTAGACATGTGACAGTGATCTACTTCCAAATCTCAACATCACAAAAACCTTTCCCACCTTTCTCTCTCCTCCTTCATCTTCTCCAGCTCCACATCACTGAGCAGATCAGACTTCTGTCTCTGCAGGGCGGCTTTGGACTCCTTCTTCTCATCCTTTTTCTTACCAAATCTGCAAAAACACAATCAAACTATAATCATACAATACACACAATACACCAGCAATATACAGACTGGATTCCAAAGACTTTTTTCTTTCTGGAGAACCAAAGTCTCCGACGGCCCCTGTGCAGGAGATGAGGTGTCTCTCACAGATGCACAGATGAATCACCGTAATAATAACCATAATGTGAGGGTTAAACATGTTAAGGCTTGTTTGAGCTGTTGTGTGATGCGATGTGAGATGTTCTGGCACAGAGAAGTGTCAAAGCCAAACGATCCAAGAGCAGCTTCTCACATCGACTTCACAAAACACGTCTGTATCACTCCAACCTCGACACGCTGAGGGAAGAGTCTGAAGGTCTGAAACACTGCTCTCACTTGGTCAATGTGTCTGGGTTTCTACCAGACCTTTTTTGTCATTTTCTACCCATTTATTAGTCCATTTCTCGGTCTGGGGATGGTGAGGCCACAGAAAGTAGGCTGCTGCCCCGCCTTGGTGTTTCAGCAAGGGAATTTGGGGTTAAGTGTCTTGCCCAGGGACACAGCGACAGCAGTGGGAGCAGGTGGCATGAGTTGTGGTGGAATCGAACCCACGACCATTACTGTAGGTTCAAAGACACTCTACCAGCTGAGCCACTTTCCCCCCAAAAGTGGCTCAGTTATAGACTCAAATTGTTTTTTACCCTGAAAGTTATTTGATCTATTTAGTATTAATGTTTCACAAATTTAAAAGCAACAATATTACATTTTGGAATCAGCGCAAAAGGAGTAGGCTGAAGCGAGGAAGCTTATGAATGCCTCGTAAGTAGTAAGTCATCTTTATTTATATAGCGCCTTTGACAGACCACAGTCACAAAGCGCTTTACATATTTTTTCTTTGCATTTACCTCTCATACAGGAGGTACATGCCAGACCTATTGTATTGGTAGGGGAACCTAGAACACCCGGAGGAAACCCAGACACAAGGGGGAACACGCAAACTCCACTCAGAAAGGTCCTGTTCCAACCGAGATTCGAACCCAAGCAAAAGAGTGCTTTGTGAACAAAATAAAGCAGTTTTTTGTGTTTGCCAAGGCTTGTTCCTTCTTGAGTTTGTCAGTTACAGGGGTATTGTGCATAACCTTTCATGACCAATTCGAAGAATGTGCTTGTGTGGGCACGCACGCACGTGCACGCACACGCACGCATACACACACACACACGCACACGCACGCACGCACGCACGCACGCACACACACGCACGCACACACACACACACACACACACACACAGGTAGATAGGTGTCGGTGACGTCAAGGGTTTGCGCGGTGAGTTTGCTGGGTGTAGTTTGACAATGATGGTGAATGTGATAGTAATGTAATTCGTTCTGGTTCGGCTCCAAATATCAAGAAATTGAAGCCGGAGAAAGATTAAGCAATATTTAGCAATTTAGCATGCTAAATGCTTCACTCATTCGAGTGTATTACATGCGTCACGGTAAACTCCTATCCAATTGTTTTAACCCCTCCCACCTGTGAACAGAGCTCAATGGAGCAAATACAAGCCTTAGTACAAAATGAAGTGAGTATGATGGTATGATAAGACCAGGCTAGCGTATTGTAGAAAACAAATTATCTGAAAACTGCATCACACCCAAACGCAGTGTTTAACAGCAGACATGGACACACTCTGCTCGGGGTAAGATCCAACGTGGACCAATTAATTAGAATCCCGGAAGCCATCAATGAGACCAGTACAAATGTGTAGGCAGACGACTGTAAATGAAAAGAGAAATTAGAGCAGCAGAGTAAGTGGTCACATATCAATATCCAAACCACAGCAGTCAATAGGATTCGTGTGGAGTCAGCAGAACACAGGGCACGACTGCTGCAGCAGCCCGAGTACTGGAACATACATATACATGAAGAGAGGACAGAGGGAATGGCCAGGGAGAAGGGCTGGTGAATAGGTTAGTGTAAGTAATAGATCAATGTGCATTAGAAGAGGTTAGCGAGTCACTTATGTACTCACATGCAATAGTTTTTTTCAACAGCAACATTGATGGGGAAATAAATCTTTTCAAATTAACTATGGTTTGTAAAGTCTTGCAGTTGTTGAGATGTATTGGAATTTGAAGTGATACTGCTGCTACTACTACATCTACTGCTGCTACTACTACATCTACTGCTCCTGTTACTACAGCTACTACTGCTGCTACTGCTGCTGTTACTGCTGCTACTACTACTACTACTGCTACTACTACTACTACACTGCTGCTAGTACTACTGCTACTACTACTACTACTATGCTGCTGCTAGTACTACTGCTACTACTACTACTACTATGCTGCTGCTAGTACTACTGCTACTACTACTACTACGCTGCTGCTAGTACTACTGCTACTACTACTACTACGCTGCTGCTAGTACTACTACTACTACTACTACTACTACTACATGTAATTTATAGTAATACATTTATCAATCAAAAATTAAAATCTAGTTTATATTAGATGAGAAAATCAGTAAAGATGTGAGATGTGGGAAGAAAGATGTTAATATGGTGCAAATTACAATTAAAGACATTTTCATAATAATAAATGGCCAAACAGATGGTGACGTCGATACTTCCTTGGTTAAAGTAAATTATGTTAGTCGACAGTGCACAATGCGATTTGACCAAACTGTGACATAATTTCAGACCTACAATACTAGCCCCAATGAAAGAAAGTTTATACAGGGATCAGCCACAAATACGGCTTAATCTATTCATGAACAGCTCACTCAGCGTGTTTACAACTTTTGGCCAAAGAAAAAGTCCCCAATCCAGACCGACCTTATTAAATGCTCTATTGCAGAAAGACCATTTTCTTCCAACAATAAAACAATTTAACGTGAAACACACAGCGGACACACATTTGTCACCATTTGTTTAGAGGTCTGATAAAAAACCTGCATTTTAAAGTTGGTCGGACCACAAACATAGAGCAAGGCTGTGTAACCTTTTTAAATGTTTTATATACGACACGCTGTGACATTCTCAAAGAGTTTTATTAGTCTCATAAATGCTCTATCAATGCATTTTTGCTTTACTTGTGAGGTCTTAAAATGTCAGGACTTGGAGATTACAGCATAAAATCTTTGTAAGAAAACTACTTTATAGGACAGACGTTTAAATAACAATAAAAAAACGCCAATAAAGCGTCACAATCAGTTCTAAATTCACATTCACTATCCAAAGACAATAGAAAACAAAGTCTACAGCAAGGACTTATGAACTCCACCGGGCAAACAACAAGTATTTTCTTTGTTTATAGCTGGGGTATCCAAAGTTCTTGTTCTTCTCATAAATAATATAAGCAAGAAGAAACCCTGTGAGTCAGGTTTGATGCCAAAAATACATGAATATGAAAAATGTTTTGTGATTGAGTTTTTACATGGAGTATATAATACATGGGTCTAGTTTCTGTTGTTAGCTAACCAGTGTTCACTCCAATTGGAATTATCCTTTTAAAAATGGACACTTCTCTAAATACCTCATTGTTTATTGCTAATTATTTGGCTTTGAAAATATAGACAATGTACAAAACCATTTAGTATTATTTCAAGAACTGTTGCTATATTTTCTGATTCCAAATAAGACACAAAGCAAAATGATCGTTTTGCTTTGTCCCATTGGAGAATCTTGTTTTAAAATCGTCAAAATGTGCTCAGATTAAATAACATTTTGCCAAATTAACACTTTTTGACTTATTTTTTGGGGGCGACAGTGGCTCATTTGGTAGAGCACTGGCCTTTGGGCCTGAAGGTCGTGGGTTCCACCGGCTCCCACTGATGTCTGCTGTCGTTGTGTCCTTGGGCAAGACACTTAACCCCACACTGCCTGAAGCTGTATCGTCACAGACAGAGCAGCCATCCTCCTGTGGACTCACCACCTGCAGGAGGATCAGTGAGAGGTGCTCAGTGAATTGTGTGCAGCTCTGACTGAGCACCTTTCACTGATCCTCCTGCAGGTGGCGAGTCCACCCAGAATTATTTTTTGGCTAAAAACGACCAATTTGGGCTATCATGATTCTGTTTTTTGTCTTTCTGTCTATTTATTACCTACAAGCCGCTTGGAACCAAAGTATGTAGGAAACCCCCCAACCTGGGAACCCTGCTGCATAGTGTTGTGATGAGCACTTAAACAATACTTAAACCAAACTTTACACAAACATTAGACTCTAAAAACACACATAACAACATAGAACCATCACCATCTCGCCTCAAATTGCATTAAAAGTGACATCCATGTATTAATTTGTTTGTATTTAAACTATATATTTTTTTCATTCACAGACTTTATGTCCGCCATCATGGTTTGGCTTTGGCTGCCGCATGAAACACGCACGAGAAGGCGGTGCAAAACCGACGCTACACACAGGCAATCCTGATTGGCTGATTATTATTAGATCTCCTGAAGGAGATTGCATTGCTCTCGACCCCAGCCAAATGCCTCTGGTGGAGCATGGCGGAACTACAAGAGTTATGAGAGTCAGGCTACGTCTGATGTGGACCGGGGTAAAAAACCCATTTGCCCCCCACCACGGGCCTCTCTGTGTGGAGAGGCGTGTGCGTGACAGAGGACAATGTGTGTTTCAGCCTCATAGGGACAGAAGGGCTCTGTCTAATTACTACTACCTACAGTGTCATGAGATTAGCCTTTCCTTCAACTCTCCTCCAACCTCTTCCACCGCATTTACCCCTGGCTCACCCTATATGCTCACATCTCAGCTTTTTCCCATTTTTATTCCTCCACAAAGTCTTCAATATCACCGTTACAAGATGAGATTAAGCCAAATGGAGCAGGGTATGGGGAGAGAAATGAATAATAGCGTTGTGAAGCAATTTTAATGATCTAATGCTTTTCCATATAGGAATATTTTACATGGGTGTCTTTGTAACTATGACACATTACTACAAAAAATATAATTTATTTGTATGTGAATTCATCAGGGATTGTTGGTTTCGCATGCGGCAGGAATTGACAGGT